AACAGAAAACCTTTAAAATAAAAAGCACAGAAACACTTCAGATTTGTAACATTTGTGCATAAATTCATATGCATTCAATTTTAGTTAGTTATAAAATAATAAGTCATTTTTATGATTTATTGATTATCTTTGTGTTAAAGATAATTATGTGTTCTTAATTCACAAAAACATTTTTTATTTGTTTTTATAGATTCTGGACACACACATCTGAGCCTGTAGACATTATTAAAAACACCAACACAACTTTTGATTCTGACTTCCACAAACCGAACCAGTTTTTCCAGGTTTGGACGCCTTTTCTTGCCGTAGTTTGACGCTGACCTCCGAGCGGCTTTTTTTTTTGAGACTCAGGAAAATAAAAAAAACTGTTAAAGTCCATCCCAAAATGCTCAGCGGTTTAATTTTTTGGTTTTCAGTTTTTTTAATGGTTTCTTAATATGAAACTACCCCAGTTTTCCTGCTTTACTTCCATAAGGAAAATTAAAAAAGCTCTGACCATCCGTCCTAAAACGCTGGGTGGTTTTGTTTTTGTTTTCCTGTTTATTAATGGTGTCTTAATATAAAACTACCCCAGGAAGACTCCTTTCAGGAGGAAAAAGGAGCTCTGAGGGTCCCAAACGGCTGGAAGTGAGAGGGGAGAGTTACCGGTGAATGGCGTCCTGCTAAACGGCGTGATGCTAAACGGCGGCGTGCTAAATAGCGGCGTGCTAAATGGCGTGCTAAACGGCGTGATGCTAAATGGCCTCCTATTGGGCGGGGCCCAGCGAGCTGATGAAGGCCTGGAAGTGAGTGGAGAATGGGGAGAGTTACCGGTGGGAAGAAGCTAAATGGCGGCGTGCTAAATGGCGTCCTGCTAAACGGCGTCCTGCTAAACGGCGTCCTGCTAAATACCGTGCTAAATGGTGGCGTGCTAAACGGCGTGCTAAATGGCGTCCTGCTAAATGGCGTGATGCTAAATGGTGGCGTGCTAAATGGCGTCCCGTATGGCGTCCTGCTAAATGGCGTGATGCTAAATGGCGTCCTATTGGGCGTCCTATTGGTGTCTTAATATAAAACTATCCCAGGTTTTCTCCACAGCGTCCATCAGAAAGACTCCGGAAAATAAAATAAAAACCTGTGACCGTCCATCCTAAAAACGCTGGGTGGTTTTATTCATTGTTTTTGTTTTGTTGTTGTTTTTTTAATGGTGTCTTCATACAAAACTACCCCAGTTTTCCTGAATTACTTCCATCAGGAAAACTCTGGTAAAGGAGCTCTGAGGGTCCCAAAAGGCTGGAAATGAGTGGGGAATGGAGAGAATTACCGGTGGGAAGATGCTAAACGGCGTGATGCTAAATAGCGTCCTGCTAAATGGCATCCTGCTAAACGGCGTCCTATTGGGCGTCCTATTGGTGTCTTAATATAAAACTATCCCAGGTTTTCTCCACAGCGTCCATCAGAAAGACTCCGGAAAATTAAAAAAGCTGTGACCGTCCGTCCTAAAAACGCTGGGTGGTTTTATTCATTGTTTTTGTTTTGTTGTTGTTTTTTTAATGGTGTCTTCATACAAAACTACCCCAGGTTTCCTGCATATTCCATTAGAAAGACTCCGGAAAAAGGAGCTCTGAGAGTCCCAAAAGGCTGGAAGTGAGTGGAGAATGGGGGAAGTTACCGCTAAACGGCGTGATGCTAAATGGCGTGATGCTAAATAGCGGCGTGCTAAATGGCGTCCTGCTAAATGGCGTGATGCTAAATAGCGTCCTGCTAAATGGCGTGATGCTAAATGGCGGCGTGCTAAACGGCGTGCTAAACGGCGTCCTATTGGGCGGGGCCCAGCGAGCTGATGAAGGCCTGGAAGTGCTGCGGGTGGCAGCGTTGATACTCTGAAACTTTCCTCCGGATCTGACTGGGCGTGTCCTGGTAGAAGTTCTTCTCATCCCTCGCCATTTTCTGAAAAAGGGAAACGGTTCATAATGTTAATTATTTACTGTTTTTTACACTAAAATCTGCAATATTTACAGTTTTTACACTAGAATGTGCAATATTCACAGATTTTTACACTAAAATGTGATTTATTTATAGATTTTTTGCACTAAAATGTGCATTACTTAATGTTTTTTAACCAATAATGTACATTAACCGGTTTTACACTAAAATGTGAATTATTTAGTTTGTTACACAAAAATGTACATTACTGTTTTTAACCTATAATGTAAATTACCAACAGTTTTTTACACTAGAATGTGCATTATTTATAGATTTTTTACGCTCAAATGTACAATATTTACAGTTTACAGTAAAATGTGAACGATTTACAGTTTTTTACGCAAAAATGTGAACGAATTACAGTGCTTACACTAAAATGTGCATTGTTTACGTTTTACACCAAGATGTACATTACTTACTGTTTGTAACAGATAATGTACATTAACAGTTTTTACACTATATTGTGCATTATTACAGTTTTACACTACAATGTGACTATTTTTGTTAGTTGATTACACTAAAGTGTGACTTATATACAGTTTTGACACTAAAATGCGCATTATTTACAGTTTTTTACACTAAAATGTTACTTATTTACAGGTTTTTACACTAAAATGCGCATTATTTACTGTTTTTTACACTGAAATGTTACTTATTTACTGATTCTTACACTAAAATGTGTATTATCTACAGTTTTTTACACTAAAATGTCCATTATTTACAGTGTTTTTACACTAAAATGCTCATTATTTAGAGTGTTTTTACACTAAAATGCAAATCATTTACAGTGTTTTTGCACTAAAATGCACATTATTTACAGTGTTTTCTACACTAAAATGTGCATTATTTACAGTGTTTTTACACAAAAATGCACATCAGTTTTTTTACACTAAAATGCACATGATTTACAGTTGTTTACACTAAAATGCGCATTATTGACAGTTTTTCACACTAGAATGTTACTTATTTACAGTGTTTTTACACTAAAAATGTGCTTATTGACAGTTTTTACACTAAAATGCACATTATTGACAGTGTTTTTACACTAAAATATGCTATATTTACTGTTTTTTAGACTAAAATGCGCGTCTCTTACCTTGTAGTCGTCCCCGTGCTGGCGGACCATGTGCTGGACGTATTCGATCAGGTCTGAGGACAGAGTCTTCTGGTCTTTCTCCGGGAGGGAAGCCTCCTCCTGCAGCTCTGGGGGAAAAAACAGTTTAAACTCTGTCTCAGATACTGGAGATACAACCACCCACATCCAAGTCGGCCATTTTGATTAGGTCACCAACAGGAAGATCCCAGGCAAGGAAATCCTAATTCCTTCATGGCAATATAGAGATTCATTTAAAAATATTATGTTAAAATAGTGGATGTTAAATAGGTTTGTACAATAAGTCCAAACAAGTTTAACCAAAAAATATTTATTAGGTTTAGG